AATAGTACATGACAAGTGGTAAGTAATAAGATAAATTTAGTTCAATTTTGCTGGTTAAATTCTTAAAAGATCGGAAGAGAAATGTCCTATTTTCTAGGATAGACGAAATAAGGGTTGTTTTAAGGGGTTAATGGAAATATTTTGACTTTTTTTGGGTGGTACAAATTAGTACAAATTCAGTACTAATAGAATCTATCGTTATTTGTTATTTTTTAATAATTTTTATTCGAATAGTTCCACATCATGTTGGCAGAACCACGATTTTTTTCAAATAACACGGGGTACAAAATTCTTTCTGGTGGTACAAAATAGTACATGACAAGTGGTAAGTAATAAGATAAATTTAGTTCAATTGTGCTGGTTAAATTCTTAAAAGATCGGAAGAGAAATGTCCTATTTTCTAGGATATACAAAATAAGGGTTGTTTTAAGGGGTTAATGGAAATTTTTTGACTTTTTTTAGGTGGTACAAATTAGTACAAATTCAGTACTAATAGAATCTATCGTTATTTGTTATTTTTTAATCATTTTTATTTGGATAGTTCCACATCATGTTGGCAGGACCACGATTTTTTTCAAATAATACGGGGTACAAAATTCTTTCTGGTGGTACAAAATAGTACATGACAAGTGGTAAATAATAAGATAAAATTTAGTTCAATTTTGCTGGTTAAATTCTTAAAAGATCGGAAAAAAATGTCCTATTTTCTAGGATAGACGAAATAAGGGTTGTTTTAAGGGGTTAATGGAAATATTTTGACTTTTTTTGGGTTGGTACAAATTAGTACAAATTCAGCGCTAACTGTATACGTTGTATTTTTTATTATATATATATATATATATTTATTTTTTTTTGGTTTTTGCTAGCTTAATATGAAGTTGGCAGCGCCAAGATTTTTTCTTAAATGGCACGGGGTACAAAATTATTTTTTGTGGTACAAAATAGTACAAAATGAGTACTAAATTTTCCGATAAGTCGCATTCGATTCTGCTGATTTGGTCCTGCCAGCTTATGAGAAGTTAATATTATAAATAAATTAAGAGTAAAAATTTATATTATTTTAAAATACTAATTGCTGTTATGTTAATGGTAATTAATACTATATTAATACTATAAAATAACATCTCATACTACTTAACAAGTATAATATAAATTGTCACAGCATTCATTATATGGCGCATGTTATATCATATAATGTCTGATAAAGTATTTTGGACATTTATCAACACTTATATAAACATACAGTGAGTAATATCTTTTTACATCTTTCAGTAGTTATAATAATAACGTAAAAAATGTGAACAGTAAAACGGACATAGACATGCTTCATCAAATTCTACCATTCGGAGATATAATTAAGAATTTCAAATTTATCGGCTACTTTTAGCTGCTTTTTATGAAAAGAATTTTAAACAACACATAGTGGAATTATTGTTAATAGTAAATAATGTAAATTTGTAATTCATAATAAAAATTTTTGCAATGTTAATTATTAAGGTATAATCAGACAAACACGACAGATATTGATAATTTATTTGACATCATACCATTTTGGACCGCTATGGAAAACGCTTTAAATGTAATGCATAATACACGTAATTTTGCTATAAAAGATGTAATCGATATTTGGTCAACGGAAGTACATTGTCCTGTACAGAACGTGACACGAAATTATTTCATTAACTCAACATTAATATCGTATATTAATTATAAACATACATTACTCGTTGACATAAAACAATATCAAATATATGTGACATATACGAAGAAATCAAACATAAACTTTGAGACATCAGATACCAAAACTTGCTATTGGCTATCTTCATTTACCCCAAACATACGTATAAGCGATATTGGCAATAATGACTGGATTATACTCAATTTACAACAAGCTGGTAAATATTAAATATAACTTTATTATTCTGCTGTCTTTATTTTTTACAAATGATGTTTTATTATGACAAGTTTGATCATCAAAAATATGACTTATTTGTTTATGTAAAAATTTGTAATATTTGTAAATATTATTTAAAACTGATAAGAGTATACTAATATATGTAGCCACAATTATACACTACTCACAACAATTAAGTGATCAAGAAAGAACATGAAATATACGATTTCTTATGTTTTTTTATTTTGATTTTTTGTTAAAAAAAATAGAGCTATGATAAAAACAATAACAGCATTCAAAAGTTTAACTTTCAACTTTTAAGCGGTTTTCTGTGGAGTGCTATATAATAGTATTTTTACGGATAATAGCGATTAAGGACAAAATGACGATTCTTTCTCCAATTCTCGATAGTTTGGTAAAAAGAATCGTACAGCGATCAGCAACCATTCAAATTAAAGAGAAAAGATTCCGCTACATACTTCAAAATTCTTGTCTTCGAATTAAAATACGATAATTTATCATGCAGTTGAAATGCTTTGAAAATTGCCTCTTTTTAAGCAAATCATTTGATCGTTTAATTGTTGTGGGTAGTATACTGAACATTTCGGCCAATTTTGAATAATATTTATATGCATTTATAGATAAATTTGATGAAGACACTTTAATAAAAAAAATATTATTTTTATGTTAAAGGATATTATCGCGTTAATTATGATTTCGAAAACTGGAACAAAATTGCGGTTTATATGCGGGAAAATTATAACAGTATACATGTTCTGAATCGAGCCCAAATCATCGATGACGCGTTTTATTTTTTGAGGCAAGGACAATTGAATTTCCATTTGTTTTGTAATATTACGAGCTTTCTTTTGGAAGATACGGACTATGTGGTATGGTATCCTATGATTAAAGCTATTGAACACATGACATGTACCTGGGAAATTCAAAATAATGGAAGTACTGGAAAGGTAAATTATAATAAGAGTAAATTCTACAAAAAGAATAATGTATAATATTAAAGCACTGTATATAAAAAGTTAAATAAATATATATATATGTGTGAATATACTCTTACATCATCTTTTTCAAAAATAAGAATAAATGTAATATTCCTAAAATTTAAAATTTTTTAGAACACAATTAAATTCATGTTGTATATACTTTTGGAAAAAGTAAGATACGAAGACCATTCCGCAGATAGTGATTTTACCAGATTTCTAAGAGAAGAAGCGATAAATTGGGCATGTATTTTCGATGTTCCTGAATGTAGAGAAAGAGTCACTTCTCAATTAGAAAAACATCTTGAAAGTTCTGTACAAGACAAGTAAGTTGATATGCTATCATGATATATACAGAGTGTCTGTCATAACGTGTCTCCAAAGAGATACAAGTACATCTCGTTATTCTGAACAAAAAAGTTTTATACCATTTTGCAAACAACCACATAAAATTTCGAGTAATTAATTAAAAAAGATTGATCAATAAGCGCGCGATCTCGGACACGACAGTGCGCGCGAGACGAAAAGTTATTGTTTACGCGTCGTTTTTTTGTGCCGTCTTCGGCCCGATTTGTCGCGAGCAACAGTCGCGCGTTTCGGGCAGGCGATGGACCGTACGCCCAGATGTTTAACAACGGCGCGCGTTACCGCCACCGCCGTTACGGTCAGCTTACTGCCCGATCACGCGCTTATGGCCAATCATTTTTAATTAATTACTCAAAATTTTACGTGGTTGTTTGCAAAATGGTATAGGACTTTTTTGTTCAGATTAACGAGATCTACTTGTATCTTTTCGGTGAGACACCTTATGACAGACACCCTGTATATAAACAAATTTGGTAACATTATTTCTTTATGCATTATAAATAAATTATTTTAATATTAATTTTAATATTAAAATATTAAAAGGTTTAATTATAATATAGTTAAGTATTTGTATAAAATGTTTCTTTTTTTTGGTAATGCAGATTTTTCAAATGGAAAGAATGGATATACTGTAAAGGCTTAATGACAGCTAATAACAGTACTTGGTATGAAGTATGGAATAAATGGAATGAAACAAACGATAATACATTTTTAGAATACTTAACATGTTCTACAGATCCTTATATTAATCAAAATTATTTGAGATTATTAATGAAAGATAAATTTGACATTGGAGTATCGGACAATAAAACATTGTTTGCTAAGATTGTTCTACTTATTTTTGCAAAACATGCAAGAAACGATGTAGTGCTCGATTATATACTCAAGAATTTCGAATTCTTTAAATTCAGTTTGAAAAAGTGATTACATTTTTATTTATTAATAAATTTTAATATAAATAAATATTTGGAATACTTGTTAAATATATTACTTTGCTGTTCTAGGCAAGTTGACCAAATTGCCATATTAATTGTTATCATAACGCATGAGCATGACGTAGAACAATTCAAAAAGGTATATCTTCCTATATGCATATAACATTCTCATCACTTGACTCTTTTATATTAAGCTTATTTGTGTTCAATTTAACGCATATGTGACATATCTGATCTAAATCTGTTAGGTGAGAGAATTCGTTAAAAAAAATCTGACTGAAATGCGTCTAAGTAAGGCAGTTAGACTGAAAATAAAGAAACAAAAAAAGGAATACGAAAGACGAGTCACAGACTATGGGCGCATCGGTGCTACGGTAAAATGAGAAAAAAATATGCAAACAATTCAATCCATGGAAAAATATAATTTTACGTGCTGCTTACATGCATTCATATATTAATCATTTTTGTAATCCTCTTAATATTGTTGTATTAAATAGTATTTTTAAATTTTAAATTATTTTATTAAATTATTTCGTTTTGTTGCAATTATTTTCAATATTTTTTATTTAATATTTAATAATAACTAATATTTATATGAATATATGTATTAATATATATAAATATATGTATTAATTTATTTATAACTTCTAATACTGTACATTTTTGCCATTTTTGTTATTCTTATATATGGTCTTTTTTATGCATTATAATTTTATTATAATATTATATTCTTAACATTCTAACATCTTTTATAATAAAACTCAACTATTAATTATCTGACTAGTAACTGTCTTTTTGTATTTCTAGCAATATATGTACAAAAACTTATAGCAATAAATTTATAATTTCATACAAATTAATAATGCATGTATTATCGAACAAATATTAAATTTGTGTCGTCTTGATTAATGTTTTGATATAAAAAAATTAATATTGTCTTTTTGTTATTTATACAATTCTAAAAAATATTTATTTTAAAAGTAAAATATTTTTACACATTTCCTGTAATAATAGTTGAAAACGACGTATAAATTTACTTTCAATATTATGTGCACAAATTTATTCGATTATATATCAAAATTCATTCGTTTCTCCATTGTTTAATAGAGTGGCTGTTACTGTGTAAACTTTTAGAAAATATTAACATCACATAATATATTTATTTTGTTAGCTGCCATTATTCTTCTTAGTGTTTGTTTAAAACAAATAATAATACATTTTTAGAATACTTAACATGTTCTAGAGATTCTTATATTAATCAAAATTATTTGAGATTATTAATGAAAGATGAATTTTACATTGGAGTATCAAACAATAAAACTTTGTTTGCTAACATTATTCTCCTTATTGTTGCAAAACATGCAAAAAATGATGTAGTGCTCGATTACATATTCAACAATTTAGAATTCTTTAAGTTCGATTCAAAAAAGTGATTATATTTTTATTTATTAATATATTTTAGTATTTATAAATATTTGTTTGGTTGGTTGTGTTATATCATCAAATAATCTATTTCCGGTAAATAAATTTGTTAAAAATAATTGAGCAATGATAAAATTGCGACTAGCTGATGCAGTTAAACAAAAAATAAAAAAACAAAGATTGGAATACGTAAGATAATATATATATTTACGGAATTCACAGATTGTAAACTAATGCAGTATAAAAAGCAAGTACTTGAATCGATAAAAGATAATAATTTTACTTGTTATTCATTTGCATTCATATATTAATCATTTTTTTAATCCTCTTTTTATTATTATATTAAAAATTGCTTATAATCAGAAGAAAAGGAAAAATGTAAAATTTAACAGTCCGTATTTTTACCTAGTAGTATTACAAATTTATTAATAATTATATACAAAATGCAATTAGCATCAATTTGCTTTCGTCATCCCCATGAAAAACAAATCAACAAGCGCGAATAATGTACGATTGGTTATATTTTTCGGTCATAATGAATATTTACTTATATATCTGCGTTCTCTATACAGCACTTGAAAATAGCTTTCAGGTTTTATTTTTAAAAGAATTCGAAAATAAGAACAACTATTCTAAAATATTAAAACATTTTTTTTACAAAAAGTAAATAATAAATAAATTAAAATTGTCAGCAAATAGATAAGTCTTTGAAATATTATTTTAACAATTGCCACAATTTTATCATAAAAATGAATAGAAGACAGATATAAAAGTACAATATTTCAGAAACTTGTAATCTTTATGTGTATTTGTGTGCATATATCAGAAAAATTAAATACTTTGTATGTCGAGATGCAAGAATTACTGTATTTGTAAACGTATTTGTAAACGAAATGCAAACGGCGGCACACTCCGTCCTCGTCTGCCCTGCGCGAAACGAATCAGCGAATGTAGATATAATACACGGTAGGTCATATTTTCGACCGTAATGAATATCTACCTACGTGCCTGTATACTCTATATGGTGCTTGAGAACACCCGCCAGGTTTTGTTTTAAATGTTTGCCACGCTGGAACAACGCCAATACACACCTCCGTCCTCATAACCCTTTCTCCAACTTCCACGGGCATCGGACTCGTTCAGAGCCGGCCGAGCCATTCGGGATCTCCGAAAAAACAAGAAAAAAAACCGACAATGCAAACTCTCCAACGCACGACAGCGCGCTCGTATTTCGCGGCGAGAGCTTGAGCTCGTGAATCGCGAGCGCATCGAGGTTTGTTCGAGAGTACAACTCGAAAAACTGTGATAGTCAATGTTTTTGGGGATAAATCGTCATATTAATCCCACAGTTTACTGACGCGTATACTGAATGTTTCGCTATTCTCCGATACTTTACAAACTCGTTTCAAAAGAAATAAATGATGATTTAAGAAACAAAATCTCGCAGATTATTTAATACATAAATATGTATATCCCGGAAATTATCGAAAATATATAAACTTATCTAATGTAGGCGAATCGTTGTTTCTTATATTACACGAGATAAATATAATTTGTATCTTTGGACAAAAAAAGAAAAAAGGAAAAGACGTAGAAAAATATAGCGGCAAGTAATAATAAAGGAAGGATGACTATAATTAAACTAATTTCACTTTCACGCATTTCTTTCCTGCTGATGAGATGCAATCTCATCAGATTATCATGCCTGCCACTTTAGGCTTTGATGGACTTAATTACAGTCGTAAAAGATACTCAATGAGTCCTGCGTACTTCCGCTTGCTCATCGGCAAACAACAGTACCGAAGCGGCGAATTCCCACTTCCTGCGGCGGCGCAGACGTCGTGAAATTCCCAAAGAGGATGAACGGGAATGTTTATATTCATTTCGGCATCCATTAGTGATTACATTAAAACTCAAAGTCTGAAGCAAACGTCTACCTTCCAAGACTGACTTGGACGGTAGACTTTCTCGCGCATTTAATGTCTGGCAACCCGACGCATAGCGAGAGATGGGTCTCTAAATCCACCGGGAAAGCTTCGGGGAAAATTGCGCGAGAAAAGAAACGTGTCTTAAGGAGCCGCCGTGTTGGAGAAACACGCGCGCGGAAAGTTGATTTGTACCGACCATGTGTCTTGTCCCTCTCCAAAATTAATACATTGATGTAACGCCATAGAATGCCAAGAAGATCGTACGTGACTTTTTCATTATTAAAACGCTATTCACAAATTTCAGGCTAGAAAAGTGTTCTAATTTATATCCCGACTTTAGAAAATGAAGGGTACTTAAATGCTTAAGCAATTCAGCAGTAAAAAATATGTTAACATAATTGTATGTTCCACATTTGCTCGACAATTTATTATATCTATAAACTATGCTTATAATAAGTATTGTCTATATCTGAGATATCCAAAAAGAGATTCATTAATGATACTCGCGTATACTCGAGAAACGAGAAAGAGTCCCATCTCGTTATTCATTGTTTTGCATATTTCTGATTCAGATTGCGGATTCCAGAATCGGGCGACAATAGCACTAAGTCAAGAGAAAATAAAACCTACTGCTCGTGTCAGTGCCACTGAAAGGAATAAGACCTCATCGAACGGGTAGAAGTGTCCCGGTAAAGTCGGCACGATCGTGAAAAATGGAGAGAAATTCGCCATTCCTGCCGGGAGCATAGCGACGAGATACGACCAGCGTCTTTCACGGTTCGTCGCATTTCAACAAACTTGCCACGAAAGTAAAGCGAAACAAGGGCAAAAGGGGAGAATATTTCCCTTAACGTCTCGGCTCGCCTCTCGCGCTTGCCGCCGTCTATTCTTTCTATTTCGTCCGGGAAATAACAGCGCGCCGCTGGAATTGCGTGGAAAAAGTGCTCATTTGTGGATCTCACTCCGCTCTCGACCCCGTCCAGCGCGTTATCGTCCGGCTTTTGTATGAATATCATTAAATTTTTCGTCTCGGGACACAAGAACGCGAAATAAGCCGGAATCACTGATGCCATCTCAGTCCTTAATAAGGAACGCAATATCATACCGCAATCATTTCTGATTCTATATCTCAACTATGAGAAATAACACTCATCATATATCACAATTTGTTAACATTTTACTCCTAGAGATTCTATTCCGGAGAATAATAATCGACAAATTTTCTTATCGCACAAAAACACATCACGTTTAAAGAATTTTCGATAAATTGATTATATTTTGATTGATTGATTATATACTATTTTTTTATTATTTCTATTTTGGAAAATTGATGTAAATATATTTTGTCAATAAAAATTTGTGAAAAAATAGATAAAATGAGATATATAAAAATACGATGCAATTTAATTAATACATATATCAGTAAAAAATGTAATGTAAAGTGCAATGATTGCAATTATTAATGCAATTTATATTAACATTGTAGTCCTACATCGAAAAGTAACTTTTTTAAAGTTGGAAAGAAAAGAGTCGATGTTTCTTTGGGATCGCTGAGAGCATTCTAAGAAGGATTCTAGAAAATGAACTGGAATCCCTTATAACTTTGTTCTACCGCAGGATTTCTTTCGATGTGATCCCGCGCGAGATCCAATCGCTCTTGTCTTCTTTCTGCGTGGTTTGTGCTACACGAGCGTAGCCATTACTATGATTAAACTAGATTAGTCAACAGCGACGCTCCGATTGTCGCCATCCGATACTCTTAGAGAACTCGAACGATTGTAGCGAAATTGTCGTCGACGCTATCTCGAAAGCTATTGAAATATAGAATGTACGCTTTTAAGTAATTACACTGCTCCTTTTATTTTGGCGCGCAAATCCGCAAGCCGCAGGCATAAAAAATACAAAAAAATCACTTTGCTAATTAACGAATTGTAGAAATTAGAAATCAAGCGCACAAATTAGGCATTGAGAGATGTCTCAGTACCTAATAAAGCACAAGAATAAAGTACATGTATATAAATTAATGATACACAAGATATGTCATAGAAAATAAAAATTTATAACACAAATAAATAATTTGAAGATATAAGCAAACTGAAAATAATTAATTTTTTATAAAGTATGCATAAAGTACAGTATATGCGTATTTTTTTATATTCATCAAACTGTTCTCAGTAAACAGTTTGCCTCTCCCCCGCCAAAAAAAAAAGAAAAAAAAAAAAAAACGATGGAATATTTTTCCCGACTCGTTTAATATTGACGAATACTTTTAATGCGCTTTAATTTCGTTACCGAATCGAAATGTTGAAACATGTCCAGCGTATGTATGTACCATTGCTATCACTATGGTATGTCATGAACACAACGCGTTGAACAACCCCAGCCTCGAAAATTTAAAAATAGACGCGGATTACATGCGGCGAACATTCCGCTTAAGCGTATATCGTAAAGCGTGGTCACAAAAAAGCTGCTCCATCCGCGTGACAGTCGAAACAGTGTGACGTAACAGCAAGTTAACGACTCGATCGTGAAATGTTGTTTCGCAACATGCCTCGATGTGACGTGCAGATGCACGCATTTAAAGAACGGCACTGTGCCCGACAGGTGAGTAAATAGCAACTCACGTACGTTGCGTTTCACTACACTGACCGAGAGGACAGAGCATTTTCGCGAATTTTGATTAGGCAAACAATATACGCGCGAATGGTGCTAGTTAACGAGAGAAAAATATATAAATTTCAATTGTGCTAGCTGCATAGATTCAAACAATTTAAAATCCATTTCACAATGCAACGTTATAAATAATATTTAATTTCTATTTCTGAAGTGTTTAGAAATTCAATGATAAAACCAATTGATGGAGTTCTAAAAATGCGTTTACTCCGTCTTTTATTTCGCGTGCATTTCAAATCATTGCATTATGCTATCACGGTGCTGAGAAGAGACTGCGTTCTAGTTTGCCTATTTAGTTTGGTTAAATAGAATGGCTACGTCAATGGAGAAACACGGGTGGAATAGGTAAATTGCAAGGTGTAACAATGACGCAGATAATAGCGTCAATTAGCCGGTCACTTCGCTGGCTTCACTAATGAAAAGGACGAGGTTAACGGAAATGCAATTGTTTGTGGTAGATCGTTATGTGAGAAAGAGAAAAGTAAAAGAGAGAACACAAATGCAATAGAAACAGTATCGTTTTACGATATGAGAAACAATCTATCGGTCAAAATATTTCGTTTCAAAAATGTATTGCTATCCAGAATTTTCAAATTGTTCGACACATATTTGTTAAGTATGAAATTTTAAATTTCTTCAGAAACTTTCGAGCTTCCTTAACTTTCGAGCTTCTCAAAACTTTAAAATTGCATATTTGAAAAATATATGTCAAATATATATGTGTGCTACTCGTAATGTATATTTTCATTTATATTCATATATAATTTATCGGAAAGGAGAAAGTTTTATGGATTTGCATGGATCTTGATATCTCCATTTCTTGCGTTGCATACAGAACGATATGCGTTTATAGCCACGGGTAACGAAATTTCTCAATCCTTCAGTATCTTGCGTTGCAATTGTATCCAAGACAGGACGATGTCTTTGAATCCCGAATGAAATAGCAACGTCGAGAGATACGTGACACTCAATACAATTTGTATCGGATCGTCCCGTTTTCCCCCGGAGGACATGGGAGAATGGTCGGGTACAAAATTCACAACACGATCTCCTTTATAGTGTCGATCCTAAGGGAGCCGTTCGTATTAAAGATGCATAATTCCCCTGCGTTATTTTTCAGGATTCATTCTCAAACGGAAGGTAAAAGCATTCTACGCGCAAAAGTGACTACCGACTTCAAATGGAGGCAATGTCACAAGTAAGTATGCATTTTTTCAAATCTTTCTGTCTCAACGTGCGCAATATACGAAACTATAATAATAAAGTGCACCAAATTTTAAGGATTTACCGGCAAAACCAGCATGTGTTACAAATTCTAAATGTTTCGTTGATCGAGTACGATTAATGATGAATCGTATTTTTAAAGACAAATAGATTTGATTTAACGAAGATAAAAAAAAACGTAATATATCGAAATACATTCGTACTCTAAAATCTAATTTAGCTATTTCTTTAGTATAGAATAACTTTTTTAGTTTATATGAGTTATGTGCGAAAAATGCATCACTTACATACTAGGATCGTTTTTCCGAGATCGCTAATAATGTGCGAATAGACTGAATTCACCCTGTTTTACGTCGCGCAGCTCGTTTTCCAACTTTCTAGTCAAACTACGACTACCGAATACGAACAAAGGGATCCTCGTGAAATTTTAGTGACCCTATAAATGTGAATGCTACCTCACAAATCCACATGCTCGCGTTTCGGTTTCGTTCTCAAGAAACTTATCAAAGAAGTTACAAAGTTCCATTTCACCAAAAGGAGTCGTGTTTCTCTTAACGACTATCTGATAGAATCAAAACGTTTCGCGATCTGCCGTTCCACGTCGGAATTCACTCTTTGCGATTACCATTGTTCTTTTCTTCTCGGACATATTTCAAAGATTTCATTATATCGATTTTCTGAATGTTTGACGTAGTCTATAAATATTGTAATTTTTAAAGCAACGTTGGACGTTCTAATTTTTTATTGTCTCCATTTTTTATTGTCTCTTGGAAGATACTTGTTCTCTATAACTGTTTCAGTTACAAGATCACGGAGCATTTTTAATAACTTTTAGTAACTTAATATTTGCAAGATAAGACATTTTAATTTCTTAAAATTAGATGAGAACAAATTTACTGTGTCTTTATTTTACGAATATTGTGGCTAGTTTAACACGATATATTAAAAACACTTATGTGTTGCCTGTAGATCGCTTTATCTCGTAACTAATATCAAAGCTGACACGTGATGGAAGCGTTTTTTGTTCAATTCTATCGGCTGAAGAATAAAGGTACTTGCCCGAGGTCATATAAAAGAATGAAAAATTTCTCGGAAATATTCCCGATACGGTCCGCGGTAAAAATGGAAAACAGTCGAATGAAATTCAGCGAGTGGGCTTCCCCTGGAATCGGATAAGATTGATTCAAACCAGTGGATTTTTGCAGGGAGAATCAGAAATCGGCTTAAACCCTGATGCCCAGCTCGTTTCGATGAAAAGTGCAAAGTGTAGTACGTGCCTTACCAGAGAGGCGACTTAAGTATTCTGAAAGGATTCCAGGATCGCGAAAGCTGATACATTTTCGGATTTTTACGTATCAAGACTAGAAACAAAATTAGAAAATCTTGATTAATCGCTCAATATGATTTTATTGATAAAGAAATTTTTGAATAAAACGGTGTACGTATTATTGTTTTTACAATCACATCCGATTAATATTATAACTTCGTAACTCTTTGAACTGAGATATCTTTTTTTGCAATCTTTTACTGTAATATTACCTAACAAGATCAAGAATAAAGAAATCTTAAATAAAATGTTAAAATATTGATTTTTTAAGTAGAATTGCAATATGTTCTTTCTTATTTTTTTCAGTACGCAATCTCCAAATATTCATAATTCAAAATATCGCTCAGTTACAAATATCGAGTATAAAGCGAGTTTAATGCTTTTGAATCATATCTCGCCCCCATAAGATTCTACGAACCGATAGAAGATTTTGAAACGTGACCTGATTCCACGTCGTAGTCCCAGGATGCAATCATCGTTTGATCGTAGACGGGTGGATTGAGAGGAGGAAGGATTACGGAAGGAATGGACGAAGGATATAGTGATCGGGGAAGGTTTAGTCGGGATTGGGAGTGTAAGACAACAATCACGAACGATTGAATCGGCCTCGTGAGAGATACCGACGAAGCATCTTCGTGCGATATCATCTGCTTGTTTCTCATCCCCGCGTGTACGAATAGAAAGGAGATCGAAGGCTTGCAAGCGGTAATTCACCGTAATCGCATTCTTCGGTTGGCGGGATAACGGTTTGTCTACCAGACGGGAGTGGCTTTTCCCACTGCCGCATACTTTAAATCGATCGTTAAAATCGGTCGAGGACGCAGTAAATGTTTATGTATGGATTTACGAGAAACGTGAGAGTCGGAGAATACGTGAAATTATGGCGCTATCGTGACTGGAATTATTTACGTAATGACCAGCCCTCGTGTTAGCATACACATGTCGAAAAATATGAAGCAAGTAACTAACTCACCACCGTGTACATCCTGCAACCTGCCGCCCTTCGTCGACAACATGTCTCCTTTCATGGAAGGCTAGGTGGAGTCCCTATAAATAAATGAACAGACATAGTTTAGTATTCAAGGGATTTCGCAGGAAGCTATTCAATAGTTGAAGTCGAAGATGACTACCGGTACAACAGCGGTGAACAAATTCTGAATAACAACTTAAGCTAACTTTATATGCAAAATTTACCAGATGCAGTTCTTGAATGTATTTCAAATATTAATGTTAAAGCATTATTTTCACATTGCTTAAATTTGTTGAGCTTATTTCTGCGAACTCTATTGCCGAGGTATAAAAATTTAAAATACAAAAGAAAAATTTATTAATAATTGTAACTAAAAATTAATATTTTATTATTTGCAAAACAATGTTTGTTACATTATTATGAACGCTATTAATTCTTTCTATATTAAAAAATTTATAAATTTGCAGTTCATATTATGCATTTTTAATTTAAACTCTATGTAGCATATGTAAATTTTTAATTCTGATTTTTATCGATATAACAAAAGCAAGCCGTTAAATTCTATTTAATTTATGAATTTTAGTCTAAAAACAACAACATTAAAATATTTACTTAACCAATACCGAAAAAGTTATATTCGAACTAAGTAAAAATAATTCAAAGGCAAGAAAACGAAGAATCACTTATCAAATGAAGATAATAATAGTGTCAAATTAAATTATGTGTCAAAAAAGTTATTGAATTACCTATTTCAGCTGATCGTTATCTCTAATTGAAATTGTCGTTTTGTAGGAATAGTTTTTTTTTTAAATAGAAAAACAGATTATTCGAATAAAAATAGCGTTTTGAGGCGAAAAATTCATAACGAAAGAAATCTCGTCATTCCGGAGGCATCTTGATATTACGTGATATTCTTACACGCTATACAATTTTATCAATAACCTCCACTTTTAATGCAGCCCGTGTTCTCTGTAATATCACGCTTACTGTGACCACCTTATCTGCCTGCCACGACATTGGATGTACCAAATTTGCATGCATTGCGGATACCATTGTACAACGCGCTACAACGTCCATTATCTTCGGCGAGTTGTACCACGTGCCGTTTTGCTTTAATATACTCCCGAATACAGTGTATCGGCCAATGCATAGAAAGATACATATCTAACATCTGCAAGCTATGTGCAACCATTCATGCAATCGTATAATCTTCCAGCGATTGCAAGATTTCCTAGTTAGTAAAACGTAAAAGACGCAGATTTAAACACAAATTTCTTTTGATTTGTTTTAATAAATATTAATCTATATTGTAAATTATAGACTTTTAGAAAGTAAACAATTTTATCAAAAATAACGAATAATTGAGAAACAATTAGGTAATCGTATTTTTCGATCTAAAATAATTATGCGTAGAACTTTGTGAAAGTTTTATCAGTAGAGTAGATATTTTTAGTTGCTTACAAAATCAACTATTCTTTTAATAAAGCGTAAAAATTCTGTTTAAAATTATCTCATATAACAGAAAAAGGAGAATCGCGAAATGTTGAAAAATGAAGGCGATTTCTTGGCGAGTATGAGAGAATGGTCTAGATTGAAATGGATGCAATTCTACTCGAATAGAAAACTCTTTGCCTCTCCGACTCACTATATCTGTTGGTTTACGAGCTTGGGGAACGATTTTATTTATGTATTAGTTCATCACTGAAACGGCCATTGCAAAGGCGCGGCCACCTGCGACCCACAACACCCTCTCCGTTCTGCTCTTTAAAGTATTTATGAAGAGTCGCAATATGCAATGGAATCGGAGTCGAAGATCAACAGCATCCTCGACGATGGAGAGCTTTAAGAAGCTCGTACCTATCGATAGCGACGCCACGATTTTCGATAACGTTCGCGTGCGGTCCAAAATAAAACCTTCTTTTAGAAGTAACGCTTCATATGAAATATGGAGCAACAATATTGTATTATAGGTAATTCAATATTACATAATACAAAAATATGTTTAGAATTTTAAGAATTTAACAAGAATTGAAAGAATTGTGTCAACAGTAAAACATTTAATCTGTAGTACATTATTGAAAAAATAATTAAGATTTCCTTATAAATTGATCTAAATCTAAAATGCAATTAAACAAATATAAATTACTAAACATCCTTCTACACTTTCCGTATTTTAGATTCGATGATAAGAATATATTGATAATATCCTAAACAGGTTTTTTCGGATTATATTATTTAAATATGAGAATCTTTTTTATTTTAAAAAGTGTTACAACTTGAATAAAATTATAAATCAAATTATCTGATAATATTTATTTAATCAATATGGAAAAAATGAAAAAGTAACGTCACATATGTTTAACGAAATCACGTTTGTCGCAGTTTTCATGTTTTCTGCATTAAAATGCTTACAGTAACAGTTTACCTAATAAATAATATTATTAAGAACGGTAGATGATTAATTTGGTAGATCTTACGACTTAACATTTCAAGCTCGCGAACTTGCGAACGTGAAATTACACAGCAAACTTTCTTGCGCGCTAAATTGCCTCAGGTTTCTCGCTGGTCTTGCTTACACGTGGTGGAAATTTATCGTCTATTTCGAACGGCGATCGTATCGCAGAGAATTATTATTATATCAATGATATTTTAAAGTCGTTAATGAATCAATGTTACTTAAATTTAACGTCTGCAGTTATTATTTCTATATTAAAAGTAATATTCCGAAGCCGATATTAAAAAATATTGAAACATATGCCAATATCTTCTTATACATTACTTATCGACATGTTAAATCTTACTCGCGTAGTTTAATTTATCGACTTATTATTATTAAAATATTTTTTAGTAAGTTTTTTCTTTACAAAGAGCACGTTTAATTTTTTTTTTTAAATTAGATATATTTGAACAAATCAATTTCAGATTTTTATTGCCAAATTCTATATATAAAACAATAAACATCATTTAAATTTTATTGCAGAAACTGAATTCAATAAATATTACGTAACATAAAAGTTCAAAATATTTTGATTCATCGTCAATATACTGTAAATGATTACTCGAACGTTAATTACACGGAAAATCAGCCACATCGAAGAGCCATCGGCGAAGGAAGATTTCCGGAACGCACTTAAGGATCCGAGTAACGGATGAGAGCGAGATTAAGGAAGTTGTAATGGAAAGCAGGATAATGGATTAAAGTGCACGTGATGCATTAATGTTGCATCGACGTGCGCGCGCACGGCATGTAGTTGTGGTTTAATCGGAGTAACGTTACTGAAAACTACTAGGATATTGGGTTTAAGGACTCATTCTGAAATATTTAAGATAGTCACGTGCAAAATTATTGCAAATTTAACAAATTTGCCCTGCGTGAGACTTTTTTCTCTAACGCAAAACGTTTTCAGTTGATTTTTTGCAAAGATCTTGTTGAGAAAATAAAGAGGAAAGACGTAGAAATATTCATTAGAAGCATATATTTAGCTTCAAGGATAAATGGTAATCAAAGATAAATGGTTATTTCATTCTTGCAAGAAAAAAAATATATACATCAGCCGATTCGGAGCGTTTGTTTAGCGCATTAAGAATTAGTTAACTTAAGTAAATCATCTAAAAATTACAATTTTATAATGTTATAATATTATTTTAAATCATTGTATTCGGTTGTATTTATACGTAATAAATTTAAAGGCGAAAAAAACTTTCTGGAAGCTAATTTGTTATAACAGCACATGTATACGTAAATGTATATATAATATTACAAAATGAGTTATCATATTAATTTAAGTTTTTCGCTAAATTTCAATATTTGTTAGCCCTAACTTTTCGCCATTGGCGCGTGTATGCGTGCTACACATTCACATATAAGGTTATATATGAAAGGTATATATGATAATAGTATAAATGTGACGTTTATTGCCTCGCTCATACATGAAAAATGACTCTGCCGAGTTGAGATTAAAGAACGAAATTTCTTTCTTGTTGGCGATTCTTGTCCCGGAAGATCTGCTATTCTTCGGAATTTTCAAGCTTAAAAAGTTTAATCTTCTTGATCAAAGTGTACACAAAGGACACGGAGGACAAGGCGGGAGTGCAGAGGAAGAGAGACTGCTGTTAAATCTTGTAAACCACACAAGAAAATGTAATTTTACCTATTAAGCACCAACAAGATTGTTTAACCCCGACCTTTTAACCGCCTGTGGATTTTCCGCCGTAAACACAGAAAACGATTTAGCAGCGGGCTTTTCCACGCGTCGTTGTGATTTCAACTGGGGCGTGTGTTTTCTTACTGTCCCTTCTTGTCGTAATTTTCTATTTCTGTCGTATAAAGCCAAAGGATTACGCGCGACCAAGCGAAAATATTTGGCAATACATTTCGATTTAAGTCTCATAATAATATCTCGATAAATTCTGTTCATTGTTTTACTATGTAATATTTATCTCTCTATATATTTTATATTAATATTTTCATATTAATTTAGATTTTTACAAAAACTTTTGACGAAGTCTGGAATTTTTCAGATACGTCATTTCTGTTTATGCTTTGTAGAATAAACAATTACTTGTTTTATATTTAAATAAGAACAGATTAAATTCTCGCTTAAAAAATTGACACAAATTTGAAAAAAATTCTAGAAAATATAATGTCTAATTTTAATTAGTGCTTCAATTAATATTCACGGAGCGAACATACAAAGAACTAATGTAATTGATTAATTATTGATAATAATATAAAGGAAATATTTTGCTTTCTCCTCGTAAATATCTTGCAATAAACAAACGTGAGCAATAAACAAGGATTTTCATCCGTTTTACATTTTCCTTTATTTTTCGTCTTCTCCTGCCATTCTTTATTTGCAGATAGTCACGTTTAACTTTACGTTGATGCTGCTGGCCGTATTACTTCGTGTTACAGTAAATCAACCGAGTGCATTCGTATATACGAATGTTTACGATGATAGTCTGGTATTTTCTATATTTTTCTCAGTATTCTACGATCCGCCGTTTCAATATTTCTACAGTAACATGCACAATGACTCACGTTTACGATACCGATTTTATACAGTGCATATCTATC